TTCCCTTTATATCTACTAACAAAAACCCAAATGGATTCAATCACTTTGCTATTATCCTTGATATCCTCAAGTTCAACAGGATGTAACTCACATTTTACATACAAGGCCACTACTCCTCTCTTCTTTAATACTCTATCCCTATTAAATAGCCTGAAACCCTCTATTTCAAAAAAATTATGTCATCAGAATCATCTATGTTTAATCATGTTTCAGTTATTCCCATTATATCAAAATCCTCCATTTCTACCAGTGCTCTAAGGGCATTTATTATATTTCTTGTACTTCTAGCATTACAATAGTAACAATTAAGCCTACCTTTATAACTACTTATATACTCATTTCCTATGCTAAACTTTTCTCTGCCTCTTATTTTTTCTGCAATTTTTTTATCCTGGCCTTCACCAGTGTCTAAAGAAATATATAGTTAAAAACATACAAGTCACAAAGATATCAAGATAAAAGTATCGGTTGAATAGTTGCCAAGTTGTTAGTTTTTATTTAAAGAAGGTTGACGTTTGAGCTAGTGCTCTTTGTCAGATTGTACAGCTGTATGACCTGATGATGAGTGCTAGCTTGAAACATCATCCTTCTTTAATTAAAAATGTAACAAAAACTTGGAAATTGTTCAACTTATTCTTTTACTTCACCTCTGTCTAGTCATAGTTTAAAACTTTCATTACAGCTGAGTTAGTAGCTTTTGCAAACAAACCAGCCCTTACCCTATTTAATTCTAAACTGTTCATTTGACAAGGTACCTCACTTCTGCTCACATACATAGCTATTCTTGATCAGTGCTGTCCTCTATTAGTAAACAAAGTTTTGCATGCCACAAACCTTTCACTCCCACACACACCCCCAATTCACATGGTTTAACTGATTCTCACATGCAAATTATCATGCGACAAACCTCCAGCAATAGTAGTACCACACACCTATGTGATTGGTATTCTACCTAATTATTATTTCTCATTTGGCAGTGCTCATGTTCAAACATTTAGTTTGTGCTCTCTTCAGTTTTTTTTTTTTCTGTATCTTTGTCTCAATTTTACTCGCCAAATTTACTATTTATTATACAATAGTGATACTTGTAACTTATTCCGAAGTGGAATTATTTTATATTTGTACCCAGTTACGGAATATAAATGGATTCAATCTCCTTGCTATTATCTTTGATATCCTCAACTTCGATCTTCAAACTATGATTTACCTGTAGTTCATCCTACCAGTAAATCAATAATTTGGTTAAATATATCTATTTCTTTAACACATAACATCTTATGCATGTATTTATTTCACTGCACACTTACTTAAATTTACATTATATCGACTATTTCATTTTTGTAATTCTTATTACACACTTATTTATGGTCGTCTCTCTTTTTTTTTCCATTGGTCCTTTTTTTGGGACTACCCCTATTTATATTCTGTTTTTTTTTGCTTCCTTTTTTATTTCATTCTGAGTCATAGCTATCTCTATTCTTGTTCCATGTCTGGCAACTTCCCATACTTTACCTGTCCTACCTATAGGTTTCTCCTTTCATCATGTATGCTTGATGCAGATTGGAGTTATGGTTCAATTGGTCCCGTCTCAGTCACTTCATGGTTCTTCCCCATTTTTAATATGTAGTCTTTGATTTCAATTGGTAGTCAATTTCTGCACGACTGAGAATGCCCACAGTACTCATTCTTATTTTTCATTTCTTGGGATGCTATCTTAGATTTTATCACCATGTGATCTGATACCAGTTTTGTGCTTTCACCTTCAGACTTGTTTGGGTTCCGTATGTCTTTTCTCAGATGGTCTGCATTTTGGGGGATTTTACTAACACCACTACTTGGATATAATGGCTTCAGGTAGCTACTTCCAATTGGGGGTGGTTATAACATACTCATCCGCTTCTGACACAAACAACTTTGGTGGTTAGATTTTCCAGTTGGATAAGTTTTTCCTGTTTATTACCTCGCAATCTCGTCTATCTTAAGAGTGTCTTTTCAAACACCCACATTCGTCGGGACCATCTATTCTCCTCCTCGAATGCATTCAATGGAGCTTTTTGTTATCCAGTCCATTATGGTTAACTATCTTACAGCCAGCGAGGTTCTAACACATTGGGGGGGATGTGGCTTCTATGGAAGCTTTTCTTCCTTTGGGTCTAGCACATTTGTGATCTTTTCAGAAGATGCTGCAAGATCCATGGTCTCTTGCTAGGGTTCTTTTGTATACTCTTAACTTTCCTCCTTCTCTCTTTGACTATATATGTTGGTGGTTGAACATATTCCCCAAATCATTGGGTTTACTGATTCCTTCCGCTCATCCAGATTTGTTTCTCTTCCCTAATGCTCATCTCCAAAGTTAGGGAGTGTGGGTCAATCAACAGGAGGCTTCATGACAATGGTCTATGGATGAAAGATCTTACGATGTTAACGCTTTTGCATATGCTTTAGTTCACTTTCTTCCTCTATCTGGATTTGACAAATCATGTTTCATTCCGACTCTTCGATGGTGATGGCTTATATCACTCACTAAAGGGACACTTTTTCTTGTTACCTTTATTGTAGATAGTGGATCTCTCTTTTTGAACCCACACACTTGACATACATCTTCTGTGTGTTCCAGGTGCTCTCATCCTCATTGTAAATAGTCTTTCCAGTCCTCATAAGGAGTGACTTCTTGATCCTCCAATTTTCAGTGGCTTTGCCTCCTGCGGATACTTCTCCATGGGAAATGTTTGGCTCGATTCCAACTTATCTCTCTTGTTTTTGGTCTCCAGTTCATCCAGGAAAGTTGGATGGCCAAAGGTGCAACTTTGTCATAGATTCTGCTTCTCAGCAAACTCTTCTGAGTATTGAGGTGCTGGATCACAAAGGAGTACCAGAAGCTCTGTGGTGTGACAGGACATTATGCAAGGTTGTGGGGACCAGTGTGGGTAACTATTGAGCTCATGGGCATGAAGAACAGACACAAAGTATACTTGGCTGACTTTGAAGACCAATGCATATTAGGATTGGACTATTTACTACCGAGGAAGTGTGTAATTAATTTTGATAAAATGACGTTTGGGAACAACAAAGGCCTAATCCCAGTAAGTGTTAAAAGAGA